GAAGGTTCTAGAAGTGTCTGTGGGGTTCTAGAGTGTCTTAGAAGGTTCTGGTGGTGTCTCCAGGGTTCTAGAAGGTCCTGCAAAGTTCTGGAGGTGCCTGCGGGGTTCTAGAGTGTCATCGAAGGTTCTAGAGGTGTCTCCAGGGTTCTAGAGGTGCCCGTGGGGTTCTGGAGTTGTCTCCAAGGTTCTAGAAGGTCCTACAAAGTTCTGGAGGTGCCGGTGGGGTTATAGAGTGTCATAGAATGTTCTAGATGTGTCTCCAGGGTTCTAGAGGTGCCCATGGGGTTCTGGAGGTGTCTGTGGGGTTCTAGAGTGTCATCGAAAGTTCTGGAGGTGCCTGTGGGGTTCTAGAGTGTCATAGAAGGTTCTAGAAGTGTCTGTGGGGTTCTAGAGTGTCTTAGAAGGTTCTGGAGGTGTCTCCGGGGTGCTAGACGGTGTCTCCAGGGTTCTAGAAGGTCCTGCAAAGTTCTGGAGGTGCCTGCGGGGTTCTAGAGTGTCATCGAAGGTTCTAGAAGTGTCTGTGGGGTTCTAGAGTGTCTTAGAAGGTTCTGGTGGTGTCTCCAGGGTTCTAGAAGGTCCTGCAAAGTTCTGGAGGTGCCTGCGGGGTTCTAGAGTGTCATCGAAGGTTCTAGAAGTGTCTGTGGGGTTCTAGAGTGTCTTAGAAGGTTCTGGTGGTGTCTCCAGGGTTCTAGAAGGTCCTGCAAAGTTCTGGAGGTGCCTGCGGGGTTCTAGAGTGTCATAGAAGGTTCTAGAAGTGTCTGTGGGGGTCTAGAGGTGCCCACGGGGTTCTGGAAGGTCCAAAAAAGTTCTAGAGGTGCCTGTGGGGTTCTAGAGTGTCATCGAAGGTTCTGGAGGTGTCTCCAGGGTTCTAGAGGCACCCGTGGGGTTCTGGAGTTGTCTCCAAGGTTCTAGAAGGTCCTACAAAGTTCTGGAGGTGCCTGTGGGGTTCTAGAGTGTCATAGAAGGTTCTAGAGGTGTCTCCAGGGTTCTAGATGCATCTATGGGGTTCTAGAGGTCTCTATGAGGTCTTACACATGCCTACAGTGTTCTAGAGGTGCCTACAGAGTTCTAGCGGTGCCTACGGGGTCATGGAAGGTTTTAGAGGTGTCTCCAGGGTTCTAGATGCATCTATGGGGTTCTAGAGGTCTCTATAAGGCCTTACACATGCCTACAGTGTTCTAGAGGCGCCTACAGAGTTCTAGCGGTGCCTACGGGGTCATGGAAGGTTTTAGAGGTGTCTCCAGGGTTCTAGATGCATCTATGGGGTTCTAGAGGTCTCTATAAGGCCTTACACATGCCTACAGTGTTCTAGAGGCGCCTACAGAGTTCTAGCGGTGCCTACGGGGTCATGGAAGGTTTTAGAGGTGTCTCCAGGGTTCTAGATGCACCTGTGGGGTTCTAGAGGTGCCTACAGGTGTCTATAGGATTCTGGAAGTTTCTATGGTATTCTATGGGTTATTAGCGGTGCTTATGGAGTTCTAAAGGTGCCTGTGGGTTCTAGAGGGTTCTGCAAGGTTTTACAGGTGTCTCCAGGGTTCTAGATGCACCTGTGGGGTTCTAGAAGTGCCTACAGGTGTCTATAGGATTCTGGAAGTTTCTATGGAATTCTATGGGTTATTAGAGGTGCTTATGGAGTTCTAAAGGTGCCTGTGGGTTCTAGAGGGTTCTGCAAGGTTTTACAGGTGTCTCCAGGGTTCTAGATGCACCTGTGGGGTT